TCAGCACATCACTACTGCTGTCTTCTCTACTATGACGTCACCAAAACAGCTGATTCTGTCAAAATCACTGAGAGCCGAGTAGCGGTATCGTCATCGGCGCCACCTCTGTATTCTCTCCACCGTGGTGCTTAATGACATCCTTTTATGAACCATACTTTAACAACTTCCCTGTCCAATGAGTCATATGTGACTCACGAGAGCGTGTTGAAATAAGTTCATGAGTCACATGTGACTCACTTTTGTGCACAATTTCGGACAAATTTTTTGGTGTGAACGGTACGAAATTTTTTTTAAATGATACGTGGACGTACGGTAAAAAACCTAACTAAAAATATATGAAAGAAAATTTCGAGATTTTTTGTCCTAAAAGTTCTCTTTTAGTAAAAAGAAAAAGCGTACAATAAATATAACTCAAATACAAAGTATTAGACTTTTATTCATAGAAAAATGTTACAAAATCAGAAATGTTTCACATTATAGCAACCTAAACATAATGCTTTTTTACACTTTTTGCACTCGGTAAGTGCTTGTTTAGCTTTTCTAGCCAATAATCCTCTTTCTTTCAATTTGGCGTAGCATCCGCACCTTTTTCGTACAAGTTTATTGCAAATATTTCGTGGAAATTCTTCACCAATTTTATCAAATATAACCTCAAATAAACTAGTAAAGGGCAAGACAACTTTTACCCATATCTAATGCCTGGGTTATAATGCACGGGACGGAACGTAACAAATCGTAAGGATCTGTTTAATTTAGGTCTCCGGTTCGTTACGTTCCGCCCACTATTTCAGAATTCGGTACAAAAACGCCCTATCTCAGCTGCCGATTCAAAAACGCTCTATCTCAACATATTTTCAATATATTTTCAGTAAGATAGGATTTTTGAACCACCAACCGTTTTCGAGCTGGCTGCGGATATTTTCATTCATTAGTAACGTTAGAGGTTATAACGGGTGATTTTTTAAGAGCTTGATAACTTTTTTTTTTAAAAAAACGCATAAAATTTGCAAAATCTCATCGGTTCTTTATTTGAAACGTTAGATTGGTCCATGACATTTACTTTTTGAAGATAATTTCATTTAAATGTTGACCGCGGCTGCGTCTTAGGTGGTCCATTCGGAAAGTCCAATTTTGGGCAACTTTTTCGAGCATTTCGGCCGGAATAGCCCGAATTTCTTCGGAAATGTTGTCTTCCAAAGCTGGAATAGTTGCTGGCTTATTTCTGTAGACTTTAGACTTGACGTAGCCCCACAAAAAATAGTCTAAAGGCGTCAAATCGCATGATCTTGGTGGCCAACTTACCGGTCCATTTCTTGAGATGAATTGTTCTCCGAAGTTTTCCCTCAAAATGGCCATAGAATCGCGAGCTGTGTGGCATGTAGCGCCATCTTGTTGAAACCACATGTCAACCAAGTTCAGTTCTTCCATTTTTGGCAACAAAAAGTTTGTTAGCATCGAACGATAGCGATCGCCATTCACCGTAACGTTGCGTCCAACAGCATCTTTGAAAAAATACGGTCCAATGATTCCACCAGCGTACAAACCACACCAAACAGTGCATTTTTCGGGATGCATGGGCAGTTCTTGAACGGCTTCTGGTTGCTCTTCACTCCAAATGCGGCAATTTTGCTTATTTACGAAGCCATTCAACCAGAAATGAGCCTCATCGCTGAACAAAATTTGTCGATAAAAAAGCGGATTTTCTGCCAACTTTTCTAGGTAATAAAATTCAATGATTTGCAAGCGTTGCTCGTTAGTAAGTCTATTCATGATGAAATGTCAAAGCATACTGAGGATCTTTCTCTTTGACACCATGTCTGAAATCCCACGTGATCTGTCAAATACTAATGCATGAAAATCCTAACCTCAAAAAAATCACCCGTTATATGAGTGCAAAACTGTAACATCTGCCTTAATTTACATTTTTGTCTGCTGGTTTTTTTATTGTTGTTGTATTGACTTCAAATCATTATGAGAGAGGGAGTAGGGATGTACCAACAAGAATATACAGCAAAAGTATGAAAGTCGTTAGAACTTGGAAATATAGCGGTGGCTGAAACAAAAAGTGTTAAACCATGTTACAGTTTTGCTCGTCACTGTACATATATGCATACCGTGAAATTTTAAATAGAAAACTCATGAAAAAGATGATGAAGAATGGGTATTAACAGGAACCTATTTTCATGCGGGATGCAGAAATATTTATAGAGAATTTCAGACTTAGGAGTTTCTACTAAATGGTCGCTAAGTTTGTGAGCTATAAGTATCCCCAAATCAGATGAGGACTCTAATGGTTCTGTAAAGTAGTTTTCAATTTGCTGAAAACTATGTCCGAGCACAACATCTCCACTAGATACGTTTCGCACCGATACAACTTGGAACGGACCGTTTTTTTCGCTGTAACAAAATGAGTCTTTTGTTTTTGCGTTAATATTAAAAGCACCAAGTTTTAAATTCTTTTTCAAAGGAATATTTGCAGTCTCACTTTCTTGAAGTCTTAAGTATAATTGTTGCAAAACTTTATTAGGTTTTTTTACTAGTTTCTTTAAATATTGCATGAAATTTTCAAATTTGTATGCTGAGAAGTTTTCTAAAGGGCCATACAGACTCGTACAGTCTGACAAATGCAGCAAGCCATGAATATTGAAACTAACTAAATGCTCTCCATAGATTTCACCAAATAAATTAACAAATTGTTCTAACATTCCTTGGGCAACGTTTTTTTCGCTTCTGTAACACTTTTCGCATGAAAGCAACCTTATACCCGCGTGTAATAGAAGAAAATGGTAGTATAAATAGTCGTCTATACAACCCTTTAAAACAAATATCCCTGAATATAAAAGAAACTGCCTGAATTCGGTCGATTTCCAAAGGGCTATTTCGTCCAAACTTCTACAAATCCTTCCGAATTCCGAAGGAACCAAACGAGAAAGAAATTCGATTTTTTCGTTCATTTTAGTTACATTACCCCTTTTTACCAATAAATTCAATAATTTTTTCGTTACTCCAAGGTCAACTAGGTACATCGGGTCAAGAGGAAATTGTGATACCATACGGAAATTATGGTTTTCCAAAGTATTTGGTTGTTGTCTAAAGGGTAAACTATGATGTCCCACATCAACTCTATTTTTAAATGAAACATCTGTTCTTAGCTCATGAACGTGTTTTGAGAAACTGATTCTCCTTTGTGTAAAACTTCCCACTTGAACACATTTAGGGCAGCCTTTCTTGCTGTTATGTGACAAAACACTTGTGACGAAGGCTCGGGCTGGAGAGTCGCAGACAAACAAACGCACTTTAAATGTTTTCAAAAGCTTTTTGGAACCGACTTTTATTCCAAATTCTGTCAGGGCACTTGCTTCTTCGCAGAAGTCTTTCATAAAGTCATTGATGTTCCACGGCTTTTCAGTACCGGCGAAACACGCAATGAGAAACGGACTTTCCTGGGGATAACCCACAAGTGAACCTAAAATTGGCCACAGCA